CCCTTCATTTGTACCACAGTACAGGCCTTCCATAGACTCCAGAGAAGGCAGTGATTGCCTTCCTTGCAATCAAGGGTTTGTCCTCAAACCCAGATTCCAGAGATGCACGTGGGGCTATGCATACAGGCATTCACATAGAATCTAACATTTCCATACGGCAAGGCAGGCAGCCCTTAAAGAAGAGCTATTTCATGAAACAAGGACAAGATAGGGGGAACATTAAAGAACGGGGAATTCTTGCCTCAAAATACAGCCAAATGCACCCAAACACGACAAGGTTCTGCCACCAGAGCAGAAACAATAAAAATTGCTCGGAAAGGAGATTTTCCAGGCTGATTCCCTAACAGAATTAGTGATGCTCTTCTGCCCTCTAGTGGTGACAATCAGCACCGTCCTTCAGGTACTTGAAACAGTGTGACTCACAGACATCCTCTCTTAGCAACAGTTCCCTGATCACCTTGTGCTCAGGATGGCTGCCATCAGTAAGACACCAAGACAGTAAGGAAAAGTGTCCATCTGAGGTGTACAGGGGAGGCATCAATGCCAATCAAGTGTGGAGGAGGTTGTTTAACTTCTCACAGGGCTGAGGGGACAAGAAGAGATGATGACAACTCTAATGGGTCTTTAGTGCTGCCATCCTCTTGGAAAGCTGAGGGCCTGTAGGTGCACAAGCTAAGTGCTCCCAGCTGACACTATAACCATGGTTTCTGCAGGCACTGAGAAAGGAGTCTCTTTCTGGTGAGAGGCTCTTTCTGTGGAGAAGAGATCACTAGTGGGAAAAAAATCTGCCAAATGGCTCAGGAGACTTGGTTTGTATACAGATGTGCCTCCACTGGTCAAGGCAAGGTCCCTTCCCTTCCTGATCTGAGATCCAGGCTCCTCCTCTTCCAGATCTGATATTCAGGATCCTCCCCTTCCGGATCTGAGATCCAGGTTTCTTAGTAATTTGATGAAAGAATATTTCAATGATCTGAAAGAGAATGCTGCTTTAGGTTCCTTCTGGCTCTGACATTCCGGCCACTCCCTAGGCCTCAGTTTGCTGTGTTACTGATACTACCCAGTACAAAATAAATCACACATCACTTTCCCAGGGAGCTTCCATTCTCCCCGAGCCCCTGGCTGCCCCCAGATAGTGCTGCCTTTGGTACACCAGTGGGAGCTAGCTTATCTGTCTGCAGGAGATGGCAGCTGACTTTTCATTGAGTGTGTCCCTTAGCAGTCCATTCTTGCTTGCTAGAGTGGACTTCAAAGGGCCAGGCTGCTGGAAGACAAGGGCATTTAATCCCTTCCTGTACAGGCCTAGTGCTTGGCAGGAATAAACAAGGCTGCATCTGATTTTATTTTCTACTTGGAAATTTGTAACATCATTAGAGACAAGTAAATATATCAGCGGGATTAATGGACTGAATCAGAGAGCAACTTGATTGGATTTAAGACCACATTATTTCTTTGGGGTGAATTAGTAAATTTAGCACTGTCAAGAGATGATGGATTGGGTACCCGGGGACTGAGAGTTCTTATTGATCCTGAGAACAGATCAGCTCAAGAAGCAGCTACAGCTACCCCTCCACCCCCATCTGCCCACAAGGGAGAGGAGAGGAAGGGAATGCGGCTTTGTTACTGATGAAACTATGTAGAAACCCAGTGTTCTCTTTCAGGCAGTGGCCACAATAGTTGTGAACATAAGGCTGTTCAAAGATCTTGGTTGATGCCCCTATGGTGATTCGAGTAAAATGGGCTCCATAGCCCTGTAGAGGTCTTGCTGGAGTAGGTGTGATGGTGTTGTAGGAGGTGTGTCACTGGGCTTTGAAGTCTCAGAAGATTAAACCAGGCCTGTGGCTCAGTCACTTCCTTCTGTCTGTGGATCCAGACGTATCGCTCTCAGCTACCTCTCCAGCACCGTGTCTGCCTGCATGCCGCCATGCTTGCTGCCACACCAGTGATGCACTAAATCTCTGAACTATAAGCCAGCCCCAGTTAGATATTTTCTTTATTAAGAGTTGCCATGGTCATATTAACTCTTTACGGCAACAGAAACCCTAATTAAGACAATCCCCAAATCCCTGCCTCCACCTGGAATTCATATTCTTGTCTAGTAATCCTGGGTAAACGTGGCCCTGTGTAACTAACTGGCTCTTTTCCAGCAAAGAATGCTACAGACACTACATGATGTCACCCCAAAGACTAGCTTACAAAATGTGGTGGCTCCTTGTATCAGGTGCTCTCGCTTGCCCTCTCTACAGGAGGATTGGTGACTGACTCCTGTAGAGAGGACCGGGAGAGTCAGCCTGGCCATCACTGCATGGGCTCTGAGGTGGATCCTTTCCTTTTTGGTCTGCAGGCTTGGTTATATCCCACTAAAGCTGTTCCTGAGTCCCAGACCCGTTTAAGAACTGTGAGACAACAGCCAGATGTGGTGGTACATGCTTTAATCCCAGCATTTGGAAGGCAGAGGCATATCTTAGTGAGTTCGAGGCCAGACAGGTCTACAGACTGAGTTCCAGGACAGCCAAAAAACAAAAGAAAAAAAAATAAGGTTAACTATGAGAGAAGATGTTTCCTTCATGGTTCACTCTTCATAGGACCCTATATATGTTATGACTTGCTTTGGTAATGAATTTAGGGGATAGAACAGGGTACATTAGTTCTGATTGCAGACTTTAAGGACCAATGTATAACGTATAAGGCTTCCTGCCTCGAAAGTATAAACACTGGGATCAGGATAAACATCCGTGGGCCCCAAAGCAGCTGTGGTGAGTTAAGTCCTACCTCTTTCCAACACCAATCTGTGTTGACCACGTTATCTACAAAATTAATTTTTAGCACATCCAGTCACTAAAATGTGAGGACTATTTGTCACCACAGCACATCCCTTTTGCCAACTTGATGGAATGTACCTGGGAGACAAGCCTCTGGGTATGCCCATGAGGGATTATCTATTAGTTGAAGTGGGAAGATCCACCCACTCACCCACTATGGGTAGCAGAATTATCCTGGTTGAGTTTCTGACTAAAACGGATAAATTTGTGATGCTTTTCTGCCCTCTCGTGGTAATAGGAAGCAACAACCCTCAAGTACCTTAAGGAAAGCAAGGCTAATGGAAATGTGATCCAGATACACGGTGCAGTATTGTTTAGCTGTACAGAAAAGTGAAATATGGGTAAATGGACAGAGCTGGAAATAATCATTGTAAGTCAGGTAACCCAAACCCAATAAAACAAGCACTGTATCCTTTGTCGTATGTGAGTGCTAGGTTTGAAAGTTGACTATGTTGTGTTTAGCCTATAGAAGTATGAGAAGTAGAAAGAGGCCCCGGGGGGATTTCAAGGGGGTGACACATTATTTGCTGGGCATGACAAGACTGTTGTACATATGAACTCAGTGGCTGGGATAGTGTACACAAGACATGCACAAGATCAGGGCAGGAACATCCCAGCATGGAGTGGGGGATGCCCAGGATGCCCTGTTCTTAGCTGAGCAGCTACTGGCGACTAATGGCGGCTGGGGAGGAAGAGTAAGTTTTCATCAGGTGTGTGACCCCATAAGGCTATTCTTGCTCCAGCAGGGGGTCCTATACTCATGCACATTCAAGTAGCATTAAGTGGATTTTGTGAAGTAGAGAGGGATTGAGAGAGAGAGAGAGAGAGAGAGAGAGAGAGAGAGAGAGAGAGAGAGAGAGACAGAGAGA